TACAACAAGACACTCGCTGAAGCGGAACTCAAAGCACTTATACAAAAATGTCAAGGGCCGAAGAGCACGATGGTCTTGCATTTGAGCTTTGACAAGAAAAGTGGTACCCAGTTTCTTGATGATTCAGGGCTGATGAACCACGCCAGAATGCCAGGACCACCTGCGGTGCCAGGCCAGCCGATACCTCCTCCACCGCCTCGTAAGTATTGCACGAACCACATTGGTTACTTGTAATTATCTCGAATTTGGTAGGTAAGCAGTTTCCTCCCTCTCACTGCATTTCACAGAGCAGGAGCAATAGCAATAGCAATAGCCATGCGGAACGAAAACCCCTCGAAACGCGCTTTTTGTGCACTAGCGCACATAATGTGACTACTAAGAAGCCTATAAAACCCTATTCCTAGAGATGAATTAACAAACGCTTGATTTCGTTTCAATTTTCTATAGCTGCTAAGGGAAGTTGCGGAGATGGCGTACAGCTAAGCGGCGGTCAAGCAGACGTGAAACTTGACGGCAGAACCTTCCGAAACAAGCCAATTGATGGCGTAACAATAGCATTGTGGATAAACGTAACCTCTGTAAATGGTGTCCATTACTTGTTTGACACGATCGGAGGACACTCCGCGCATAAACATGACCAGTATCTGCTGACCATTAATAACGGAGCCGTAAGTTGGAGTCATGATGATGAAAATGACAAAGAGTTGTTTAAAGTGATTACCGATCCTGTAGTCACTGAGAGTAAGTCATGTGCCCCAACTTGTTCTTTTTCATATAATTGATTTAATCTTTCCTACTTCTTAACCAATAACGACCAAATTGAGTGAAAAATAGATGAGTGGAGGAGGATACTTACGGGCCTCGAATGCAGAAACAATTTGCGTAAATCTTGGCATAAGTGCTTGATTCCTGGCAATGAACAACTTTTCGCGCTGTAAGTACCGTTACAGGAATACACGTGGACACTAGAAATCTTGGTTTAGAACACTTAGTTATCACCCAACGGGAAATTTTGAGAAAAAGACCTAAAAACAACAACAAAGCGTGAATAAAGTTTTCTGAGACTATTTTAAGCATTTTGGGAGATTGCTGGAAAAAAATTATCTGTTCCTCACTCCCAGCAAGACCGATGGAAGAGTTCCCAGCCAGCAACCTTACAACCTGCAACCTGACTTACTGGGAAGTTTCATAGGGCACAATTCAGATCTTGAGTGGTAAGCAACCCATACAAGTAACCCGTAGCAGCTATTCTAGACTTCAAATCCCCTCTGACACCCTGAATTATCTTTTTCCCAGCAACACTTTCCTTCCAAGGACTATTATTTCTTCCACATCTCCCAGCCAGCAAAAATTTGCATGAAGAACAGATATTTTGAGGAACAGATCCATTGGGTGCCCCTGAGTTATCAAGTACATTGATCTTAAAAGATTGCTAGATATATATATAAAACTGAATTGCATTAGCAAGTTCTGTAGGATAAGTTGTTCATTGTCTCAGACTTCCAGTTGCCAGTTGGAAAGACCATGTTGCATGCTAGGGGCCATGTGCTATTGTAATTCGCCATCTTGTGCGCATCTTGAATTGTTTACGGAATAAATCCTTGTTGGAAGCCTAAAAGTATTCTACGGTTTCTCCGGTAATTCCTCCGGTTTTTGGCTACAATATTTGGTGACGTTCGAGCCTGCACCTTATCATATCAAGCGGGTCGAAAACTGCAAAACAACAATATATTGAAATAAAAAAACCTGGATCGCAGGTTGTCATCACTTGAAACGTTGCATTATCGAGTATCTTATGTCGGAACAGCTAACGAGAGAAGTATCACCACTTAGTACTCTTTGAGACGCACCAACGGCAAACTCGCTATTCCTTTTCCCCATACAAACCTTATGAAAAATAGTTTCAGTTACTCTGGAGCTGTTCTTTGTAACAGTCTTCCTATTAAGCTGCGGAAGGCGAACTCCTCTTGGGGCCTTCAGGGCTGGCTGAAAACAATTCTTCTTAAGATCTATCTACAAGGCACTTATGTAGAGTAGGCTGTAAGTTTAACTAGGTTTTTTAATATTGTAAGTCATAGTAGTTTTAGTTTTGTATAGAAATAGTGTTTTTAACTCCTGATTAGTTGACCGTGTTAGATAAAGTCATTCATTCATTCAATCAATCATTCATAGATTTATAAAAACTCAGTATATTTATTGTGCTTCTTAGATCAGTGGATTCACATCGCAGTAAGCTATGGTGCTCAAAGTGCCCAAGCCAAGATCTATATCAACGGGAACATAAACAAGCAAGGGCCTGGGTCGGGAAGACTGTCAGAGGACTGGGACAGCTATGCAGCATTTGGCAAACACCAGGGATCAGTGACTGACATCGATACATTGGATGAAGTGTACATGTACAGCAGAGAGCTGTTACCATTTGAAGTCAAAACACTTTACGACAATTGTAACTTCGGCTCAGCTAAAACTCGTGAGTTAACATGCGTAAAATACAGTGGCGGATCCAGGCCTTCA